AGGGGCCTCTGTCTCCTTCATAATTATTAGCTCAGTGGAAAGGCTGCTGACATCAGCTGCCTCATAAGAGAGCTTAATTAGAATACTTACGTTTCAGAGCTACATGTATTACTGAATGGCCTTAAATAGGTTTTTCACTCCTAGTCTGAGTATTACCTAATGAAGCCTTTATATCTGGACAGTATCATTTCAGGGGTAAAGCGAGCTTACTGAATAATCCTGATGCTGAATCTTTCTTAAGAAGCAGTACTCACCGGCTCTCAAGCTAGCTCAGCCCTTCCCTTCAAATCCTCGCTGTGCTATAAAACCGTTGGCAGAATCTCCATTTTAGTCTTCCTTTTTAGTTAGTGTGCAAATTTCTCTCTAGGCTAAAACAAAAGGATTCCATACAACCATTGACATTGGAGTTAAGTATGCTGAAAAACAAACAAGACGTTTTGATGAAGGAAAATTAAAAGCTGGCCAAAGTGTAATTGGTTTGCAGGTAAGTAATGTATTATTGCTTGATCAGTTACTTCTTCAGTATCATTAATTCTCACTATGCAAAATGTGTCTCTCATAAGTAAGGAATTGGGTAAGATACACCATAATGTAGGTTTTGGGGATGGATAATTTATGTCCATTTAAAGCCCATGAGACATTGAGGATGGTTTTAGAAGAAAATTCCAGCATGCCATTGGACTTGACAATTGTTTCTCTAGGAAATGCTCCCCCCCCAATTACATTGTCTTTATTTTTTAAGGAAACGTACTTTATAAATTCCTAAACGTTATTGACCAAATTACAAAACCTTAATGCCAAAGTTATTTATTTGCACGGTACGGTAGCCAAGTGCTATTAGAAATAGTTCAGGGTTTTTGGTGGTGGTTTTTTTTTTTTTTAAGCCCCCTTCACATTGTTCCCCTGGAGGGTGTCACAAAACCACCACTACTAAATGTCCAATATGCTAAGGACTTTACTACCTCTGATACCTGCCCCTCTGTTGACTGAATCTATGTGAGGTGAATTTATTTTTGTACAGTACAAAATTGTACCTGGTAAGAAATTGGAAACCTGAAATTCCAAAGAGTAGTCAGTTGGTTAAATTATAACTTAACAAAAGGAACTCTAGAGTAAGGTAAAAATGATAGACAAGAATTCCAAGATAGGAAAACAAATCAGGTTATAAAATATTATGGTCAGTGGGATCACAGTTTTAAAGATGCACATGCATATTTTTCTATGTGTAGCTCTTTGTATGCATGTGTATTGATATATACACAGATACAGAAGGTAAATCTAGAAGGATATGCACAGATGTTTACGGCTAATATCTGGGTGGTAGGATTGCAATGATTTTTTTTTTCCCTCCCTTCCTTTTTAAGGAAAAAGAGCAACAGAAATATGTCCCCAGCCAGTAGAACTGGGTGTACCGGTTGGTCTTAAAGCCATATTCTCAGTGGAGAAGAGAATTATTGTTCCTCTGAACTTCACATTCCTCATTCTTTCTATGTGGCTCTTTTTCCACGAAGATGTTGGTGATTTGGATGAAACTTTAAAGAAGCCCTTGTTGAGCTGCCAGAGAAGACACCTGGCATTTGCTATCACATTTTCTACAAACATCTGGAGTAGAAAAGCATAGTATGTAGCCTGAGAGTGCTTCTGTCCCTTTAAATGGCTGAAGCAGGTACCTCTTGGTTTGCTTCACTGTGCTGTAGACAGTAGGGAGGAGAGGAGCAGAGGAAATTAATTACTTGTAATTCTGCCCTGTACAAACTTGTTGAAAATTTTCTTTTTAACATGAGCACCTTGAAATTTGTGAAAGCATGGAGATTCTGTATCTCGCTAGCCTCGGCACAAAAAAGGGCCCTGTCAATCATGCCCCTCCACCTCTTTAGAGGTAGTTTTGCTTGTCATAGATGTTGTTGACTTCTGATAATCAGTGCTCATTTTATTTTTAACTTAAAAGATGGGAACCAACAAATGCGCCAGCCAGGCAGGTATGACAGCCTATGGGACCAGGAGGCATCTTTATGATCCCAAAATGCAAACCGACAAACCTTTTGACCAGACCACAATTAGTCTGCAGATGGGCACCAACAAAGGAGCCAGCCAGGTAAGGACTTTTTATACTTGCAGCAAAGAGTACAGAAGGACTATTTAAATTAGCACTTACCTCATTCTTATTAACTAAGTTCAAAGGAGGTGGTTTTTGTATGGTGTATTTAGAGAGTACATTCCTTCAGGAAAATAGGTTTTGCTGAGAAAGCAAAAGAATCAGAGGACCTTTTCTGTAGCAACACAAGTAGGGTGTGTGGCTCATGGCTTTTGTTGGCAGTTAGAACAGCCGGCCTTTCTACCTGACCAGAAGAAAAAAGATAAGTTTATTACGGCAAGTTTATTTCTTGCTCCAAATCCAAGTAAATGGCTCATTCGAATGCCTCAGACTTTTATTTTTATAGGATCCCTTAATTGGTAGGTACAATTATCTGGAGTTCTAAAAAGGATTTAGCCAGCATCTGTGTTAAATGTGTGACTAGAAGTAGATGGAACTGTAGCCTGGGGAGGAGGCCAGTATTCTAATACCACGCAAGATGCAAGTATGTCCTTGTTAAAAATAGATCAGCAGCACCTCACAAGGAGGTTCCCTTAATCACCAGAGACAGGCAGGCCTCCCATTCCCACAGGAGTGGAGAGATAAAGTGTGAAAAAGCTTTTTCCTAATGACCTCAAGATGAGATTTACCATTTGCCCTTTCTGGAGCACGTCCTGCCCATCTCTCGTAGCTGCCATTCGAGTCTGCTGTTTTTTTTTTTATCAGTTAAATCTGGAAGTGTCTGCTTGGCCTAAATGGAGAAATGAGGTATGAGTTACTGTACTCGTGGCTGGCTCTTGGAGACTCAAGTCCTTAGGGACTGGTTGGCATAATATCTGTTGAATGTGTGAAGAGCTTCTGAAATCGGTGGCCTGGAGAGAGTATGTGGTCCTAATAGGTACTCACCTGTAACCTTCCAGGCTGTGTTTTTACATTCTTTACATCTAATCCTCTCCTAAATCCAAAGTGGGTGGTATTTTCTCCATTTGCGTATGAGAGACCGAAAACTAAAAGGAAGCTAGCTGGTTTTGAGGCGATACAGCAGTTTTATAGCACAGCGAGGATTTGAAGGGAAGGGCTGAGCTTAGCTTGAGAGCCGGTGAGTACTGCTTCTTAAGAAAGATTTGGCATCAGGATTATTCAGTAAGCTCGCTTTACCCCTGAAATGAAGGTATTCCATGAGCGTTCCCATTCAGTGTGAATTTCATAATTTATGGAATATTCCCAAGAACAGACTTGAGCTGCAGTCTTCACTTTTCTCCTCTATTCTAATACCAGGCAGGAATGTTAGCACCAGGTACAAGAAGAGACATCTATGATCAGAAGCTAACATTACAACCGGTGGACAACTCAACAATTTCTCTACAGATGGGAACCAACAAAGTTGCTTCCCAGAAAGGAATGAGTGTGTATGGGCTTGGGCGGCAAGTATATGATCCCAAATACTGTGCCGCTCCCACAGAACCGGTCATTCACAACGGAAGCCAAGGAACAGGAACAAATGGGTCTGAAATTAGCGATAGTGATTATCAGGCAGAATACCCAGATGAATACCATGGAGAGTACCAAGATGACTACCCCAGAGATTACCAATATGGCGACCAAGGCATTGATTATTAGATTGACACAGAGGAGCTCAGTATTTAGCCCATTGTTTTTATTCAGTGAGAACCAAGCTAGCCTTGAGTAATTTTTATCTTGTCTTCCTAAAACACTATTATGCTTATTGTACCTAAAAGAAATACTGCCTTACATACATTCCCTTTTCCTTTTTCTGCCTCTTCCCTAAATAGTTGCCTTTTAGTGCTGTAACAGTTCAATCCTACAGCAGAAGCAATAACTCTCATATGAAGTAAAAAGGAATACTCTGGGAGGGGAGTACTCTTGTACAGCCAATTCTCTTATTCAAGACCTATGCATTTTTACAATCTATCTCCGTAATAACCTGAGATTTTCAAAGACAGGTTTTTTTTTTTTTTTTTTACAGTTTAGTACTTGGTTTCTACGAGGAGGACTAAACTCATGCTTATAGCTACGTGTGGTCTCCGCCAACTAAATTTAAGATGCAGCATTTTAGAAATTTACATATCAATGTCTCTACAGTATTGTTTGCTAATTTTTAAATAAAGTCCTGATCCGTGTGCATTTGTGATTATATGTGTACTCATTCTCTTCCCTAAACTGACAAGATCTTTTCAGAGCCGTGTTTCTAAAGGAGCGCTTACAAAATGGGCCCGCAGACGTTCAGGTCTGGGTGGTGCGTCCGCTCTTCCTGTTTGTGCCAATGTATCGATGTAGAGTTGCTCTGTGCTCTTCGACTGTATTTATTGCTGCATTTCTCAGCATAAACTTATCCCATTGTATTTTTTATAAATAAATATTTTTTTTGAACATTCACACGAGCCACAGGCTGATTATTTTCTGGCTGACTTCCAGAGAGGTGAAGGCAGATTTTAAAACGTCCCCTTTTCCCGGTACCGTTCTAAGTTACTCTGTCATTGCTTGACTGAATCCACATGACAACACACTGCTTGGCACCGAGGCTTAGCAAACCGAAGGGACCTGCCCACTGTACACAGTCAGTGATCGCCAAGATTCAAACTGTTCTTTGACCATGGTCTGACCCTTGCTTATGCCACTGAGAAGCACATGCCTCCAATTCATCCTAAATCCAACTTGGAAGAATCTTAAAGTCATGCTGAGGAACATTGGTGGGGATGGGGTGGGAGTACTTTATATTCATATCCTAAGTGAATATTAATAAATTAAGGATAGAATCTACTTTTATGGTATTTTCTGGTATTCTAATGGCCAAACAATAAGGACAAGAAAACGAAGAATAGGGTCCATCAGCCTTACCATTTATTCTGTGAATGGCTCTTAGAAGAAGGCAACTTTCCAGGGATAGCTAACCAATGGGCGCCTATCACACCACGGGCTGGAGTTCCATTCCCTCCTCGTTCCTTAATGAGCGCTCAGCTCCCTGCGCCCTCACAGCGTTTATTCTGTTGATCCTTTTTACAAAACTCTGAAAAACAAAAATGCGGGAGACCAGTGTTATGTATCCGCACTTTTGGCAACACTTACTTGACCATATCATTCAGGGGAATGTAATCCTTAAAGTTTTCCCGTGTTGAATTAAAATATTTTAGGGGGGAGATTTCCAAGTGGATTTTTAATCGGCAAAGTGTAAGTCGGAGAAAGAAGCCCCAGTTAGCTTCCGCCACCATCAGAAACCATTTCCTTAGGGTACATACAACTAAAGTGCTATTTTTGTTTTGTTTCGCTATTGTATTTTTAGGTTTTATATGGAGGTGGTTGAGAATACATTTAACTTTAAAACCAGAGAAGTGCTTGTTAAACTTCAGTGCCTGGCTGAACTGAGGAGTGCTTTGCTGTTTCAAAGCCAAAGGGCTCTGGGGCCGCCTGGCTTAGTCGGTGAAGCGTGCAACTCTTGATCTCGGGGTTGTGGGTTCGAGCCCCACGTTGGATGTAGAGATTACTTAAAAAAAAGCAAAAGGGCTTTAACACAACTTTTATGGCAACAGAATGAAAGAAAATTACTAAAACATCACTTCACCCAGATAGCACAGAGACTTCATTCAGTTGTTAAAGTGTCCCCGTCTACACCTGATAAGACGAATAAGCAACAACTATGTTGGAAACAGCTGCCTGTTCTTTGCAGATAGAAGCTGAATGGGACTTGACAGGGTGTGGCTTCTCCTGCATCGGTGGGCCTCGGTTAATGAGGGGCCTGAGAACTGCAGATCTGTCGATACTGGCACAGAAGGTGCCATGTGTGTCCCCTAAAGCCCGGAGGGGCTGACATGATGCTCAAGGAGGCAAGAAAGCTTTGGAGAAAGATCAACTATTAAACCTCCAGGCCACCCAAAAGGCCAGACCAAGCCTATAGCACCAAAGGGACTTGGACTGCTGTGTCCGGAACACCTGCCCAAGGTCATGTGGTCCGTATTCATTGTTCAGCTTCACTTCTCTCCAGGGAGAAGGGCTCAATAAGGGAAGTGGGTTCAGCCTCAGGAAACAGAACCCGAACCTCACTCTGGACATTCAGGCTGTGTGGTAGAAGGCCACAGAGCCCTCTGGAAGAGAAAATGAGGTGAGGTATGAGCCCCCTTTATGTGCGACTCTCTTACACTTTGGACATTTTGAGCATTGAGATGGCAACAGGAAATGAAATGTTTGCTTACCAGAAACTCTTGGTCCATAAAGTAGGGCTTTTCTGACGATCCATCATTTGTTTCCAGGTCAACAGCAAAACACAGGAAGAGTGCATCCAGCACAGTTTCAAACACAGATAAAAAACTATGGGCTACTAAGTAGGCAAAAAAAGTAACCAGCAGCAGAGGGATCACCCACACCTGGAGTGCACGGTTGTAGTTAAATGCCATGAGTCCTCCAAAAACAGTGAAACACACCACCAACACCTGTCCAAACAAGAGTTTGTTGAAAATCTTTGTAAATTGGTTGGTTAGAATATTTTAGAAATGATTTTTGTCAGTTACAAGTGATAATTTCATATACATGCATATGTATGTGAGTGAGTGTGTGTGCCCTATTATAAAGAATGCTTGTCAGAAAATGTGGTTACAGTGAAATTAAGAAAAAAAGAAGAGCTGTGATATCTTTTGATACCAAAAGAAGGCCCAGTTAATTTGGAGGGGGGAGAGAGTAGATGTATTTACATTTTATCTGTAGACATAATGATACTTCAGAATTTTTAGTTTTTTCATTTGATACCCCCATAAGCATCTTCATTTAAAAACTTTTTAGTGAGTGCCATTTTAAAATAATGGCGCAACAATCCATTGAGTGGATATACTGTAGTTTAATATGTGATTGTTTTTACCACAGGGATTAAAGTAGAACGGCATTCCAATGCTGGTGGGGGAGATAATAGGATTAATCCAGGCTTTTGCCATATGTAATTATTTCCAGCAACATAATTATAGACGCATGATGTACCTAATTCTTTAACAGATAAAATGGAGTCCATCTGGAGTCCGCATTGTCCTTGGATAGCCACAAAGATGGACATGAATGTCTGAATGCTACTTTATTCCAGAAATACAGGGAAATGGATTATTGCCTAAAATAAAAGTCTTTTATAAAGACTTAAGAGACTTTTTGGAAGTAGTTATTAGACAACATATCACCCACAATCTTACCAAACTAACATAAACAATATTATCCGTTTAACTACAACTACAAAGATTATTTAGGCTGTTTTGAAAGGCATAATCAGTTTGTGCTTCTAGAGCTACTGTTGCATGAAAAATCTTGGGCCCAGCTGCGCCTTATAAAAATGTGCAACTAACATACCACTTGCAAAATCCACACATGTTATAACTTGTTACTGACAGTTAACTCTGATAGTAATGCACCAGGGACCTTTACCAAATGCCACAGAGGCACAAAATGCTAAATGAGTCAGGAGTCCTTATTTGACTTTGGCCAGGTTACAACCAGAGACCAAGATCTTGTTCACTTTGGGACACCACTGAAAGCCTCAGCATTCAAGTCCTTGTGGACGAATGGCTGGAAGAAGCCAGCATGTCCAGCTTGGAATAGTGAAGATGTGGCATGAAGGACAGGAGGTCTGTGGTCAAGAATCTGAAGGGCAGGCAATCAAGTGGAAGTGGGATCAGGCAAACAGGTGTGCAGAATTAGGCCCAGTGGGTGACAGTCACATGGAAAAGGACACACCATGTCACGTAGTGTAAAGAACCCTCAGCTTGAAGCATGGTCAGTAGGGACTATCGTACCACTTTCATCAATATTTCAGTTACTCTTCCCTACAACCTAGAAAGGCCACGTGTTCTCTTTAGTTCAGATATGAAGACTGAGGTTCAGAGTTGTCAAAGACCCCAAGTTCAGGGCTTGTCCTTTACACCATGACATGGAACTCTTAAGATGCTCATTCACTGCACCGCATACAAGACTACATACAATTTCTTGAAAAATACTATTCAGATGACAGCAGAAATGCACCTCTGGCCCCATTTGGGACATTAACAATCTGTCTTTATATTTGTGGACTTAATGCCCTTAAATAATACAGACCTTGTATTAGGTTCCAATACTATTCCCTTATATTTTATCACAAAAACCCCAGAAAATACATCCATTTTATGAGGCTAGTAGCATTTTCATTTTAGATATGAAAAAGCGGGACTCAGGACGGTAGAGAGAATTGAGCATCGCTAAGAGTTAAGGGCTAGGATTCAAATCATGACTTTATCTATTGGGGGATCCTGGACAAGTTATTAAACCTTAGTTTTCTCATCTGCAAAATAAGATGCCTCACAGGATGGATTAAATGACAGAATGAAACACAGCATCCACCAGAGGATAAGCACTCGAAACATTCGTTCTCTTTCCAAGCCTTGCTGTATGGCTTAATGTTTGGATCCCAAGTTCCTTTATTATTTTAGTGAAGACATCTCACCTTTCCTAGAAAAATTATGAAGTCTCCAAAGCAGTTCACAGATGTAAAATGACTTGAATTCTTGGATAAGAGTTTGAGTGCGTCTTGTGCGGATGTACAAAAGTCTGTCCCATTAATGGCAGTTGCAGGGTAGGCATCCTGAAACACAAGACAATGATGAAAAAGATGAGGATTCTTACGTTGTTTCAGAGATAATACAATGACAATACCAACTTATTTGCAAAATAAAGAAAAATGGTTACTATACACCATCTCTACCCATAACAAGTCATTTCATTTGCAAAGTCCCCGTCCAGTCTCTGATTATAGACACATACGTTTTCATACAGTAGCGGCAAATGGAAAAAATAAACAAGTATTTCTGGTCAGTATGGTAGATGGGACATCCCACTACAAACACATGGAAATGATGGGTAAAGCGTCAACTTTTTTTTAACGCACAGCAGAGTTTGAGGGCAGAGAAGGAAGTTTAGGTGCTAGAACCAAAGCAGACCCTAGCAGTTAATGACAGCTGAACTCACAGGCTCTCGATGGGCAGGAAATCAGTAAAGGCTTTAGAGGTAGGGGGCCAGGGACTTAACCCCTTAGGGTAAGAAACAATATTCAGGCCCTTGCTAAGGAACTGAACTCCCGGCATAAATTCAGACTCAACCAACCATCCCGGGAAAGTGGTTGGTACAGAAATACACGATCTGCCTGGGACCACTGAAATTACTAGAGTCTGGGCAGGAGCAAAGCAAAACCACTTCCTTGTAAGCCAGGGAATGGTGGAGTCCCACAGACACCCACCCTTGAAGACAGGTAATGCTCGTAGGAAAACTTTTCCGATGGCTCAAGGAAAAGAACATCACAACAGACAAGAGAATCTGTACCCTGAGAACAGTCTGAAAGTATTCAAGAAAGTATGTTTAAATGCTAGGACAATGGGGGGCGCCTGGCTCACTTAGTAGGTACAGCATGCAACTCTTGGTCTTGGGGTCGTGAGTTTCAGCCCCATGTTAGGTGTAGAGATTAAAAACAAAATCTTAAAAAAATAAAAAAGATGCTAAGACAATGCAAAGAATAGTGACCATAGGAATGAACAGCTTGGTATGAAAAGTGAAGAGAAAGAGTCAAAAGCAAACCAAATGGAAAGTCTAGAAATGAAAAAATATACAATTTAAGTGGCACAGTGTCATTACATACCTGGCTTTTTTCCTTTATATAATAAGCGTTTTCATGTTCCTCCATGGCTTTTATAATTTTAATTTTTAATAAATACATGTTCTATCAGATGTGTGTGTAGCTAGGGCATATCTAGACTATTTCAAATAATTTTGCTATTATAAAAACTATGCAGGGGCGCCTGGGTGGCTCAGTTGGTTAAGCGACTGCCTTCGGCTCAGGTCATGATCCTGGAGTCCTGGGATCGAGTCCCGCGTCGGGCTTCCTGCTCAGCAGGGAGTCTACTTCTCCCTCTGAACCTTCACCCTCTCATGCTCTCTCTCTATCTCATTCTCTCTCTCAAATAAATAAATAAAATCTTAAAAAAAAATAAAAAAAAATAAAAACCAACTATGCAACGGACATCTTAATTTCTGGTTTTTGGATAATTTCTTAAGGATAAATTTCCAGAAATGGGATCACGAAGTCAAAAAGGACAAGTGTATGCATTTCTGTGTGTTTATGTTCGCAAGAGAAGATTTCTTGGATCATTCTTCCAAAATACCTTCTTCTTTTGACTATATAATTTCAAAACCATCTATTTCTTATATTTCCCTTGAAACCTTTAAAAATGCTATTTGCCCTGCGTTTACAACACAGAATTTATAACTTCCCTGGGAAAATACACTGTAATACTACCTTCTTGGGTTTTGGCATTTCTTTTGGCCTAGGAAAAGGACGACAGTTTTTTATCTCATGATACAAATGAATCCTTTCCTACGCCCACTCAAAACCATTGTAAGGAAACCAATTTGGAGTCTATTATAATAACCCACCTCCCAGTGTTGCAGGTCTTAATCAGAGTAAGTGACAGAGGAGATGGAGAAAAAGGGGTAGAACTAATTTAACAAACTCCCTCTTCACCAAGGCCAACTAGAGAGCAAAGTTTGGTTCTCAAAGACAAAGGCTAGGTACCCACCTCCCCCCATAGGGTATCCTGCTTGCCTCACAGGGGATGATTCTCAGGTGTCAGATGAATTCCCTGCAGAAATGGCACAAAGTATTCCACAAAGAACTTCTGGTTCCTGACTTAGATGGAATGCATGTGAATTTTGCTTTTAAAACCCCAAACTGGTTGTTGCAGAAAGCTGACCTCACTGAAGGTGAGGGCTTCAGTCTTGAGTAGGGATGTGAAAACTCATTTGCTCATTACTTAACTAAGCATCTTCAATCATGTAAGATTCTAAGAGCCCTTATGACCAACCAATTCATTATCCTGAAAATACATTTGTCAGGTGCGTGGATAAAGACTAGCATCATCATTCTTTTATAGACTGGAAACCAGGATCAAGGGCATTTCTCCAGATCTCCCGGTAAATCAGAGAGACCTTTCCCCCCCTTTAAATTTCTGGACATTACACTATCAATTTTCATTGGGACAAGATGCTATTTAAAAGTGCGGTGGGTAAGATAACCACAGTCTCTGGGTTCAAATCCCAGTTCTACCACCACCTGGCTGTCAGTCTTGGGCGAATGATTTAACCTCTCTCCGACTCCAATTTCCTCATCTATAAAGTGAGTTACGGCACCTACTGCAAGGGGGCGTTGGGAGGATTAAAGAATATACTCCCTATAAAGCAGTTAGCAAAGTGCCAGACATGCAGAAAGCCTGCAGTCAAGGGGAGCTATTCTCATCCAGACGTCAGCAAGGATGACCTCATTTACAGCTGGGAAATACAGGCCACTCTTCAGCACTGAGGAGGTGTGGAAAGGACCCACGGTTCCTTTATCCCTAGGCTTTGATCCCTTGTGCTGTCAGGGATCCAGTAAGGGCAGGACTTGCTTCCCAGACCACGTTCCGGGGCCCAGCACGGGAGGGGGGGGGGCTTTCTCAGCAGCAGCTCAACCACATGCTGCTCAGTGGCCTTCTTTGCATTCAGGCTCTGTCCCCAGCCAACCACCCACTCCCCACCTTTAAACTGGGGTTCTTAGGGTACTTCCCAATTTATACTGGGGAATACAGGTTTTGCGGGGCCTTCCTTTTCCTGCTGATCACCGCCTCGTGGTCAGTGTAGTGCTACTGTTTATAAGCGATAAAAATAGATTTTGCTTCTTGGCTAAAATGATTAAAGGTTAAAAAGGTAATTTCTTGCACATGTGTTGACTCCGCAGATTTTTGGGGGCCTATAACCATTTATCTTTTCTTTAATGTATCATGCCCACTGAAAGAGGGCATTAAAACCACTCTGACCGGGGAAATTATAGATGCCTTCCTGCAGTTACTACACCACTAGTATTTTACCACAAGGTTCAACCCTGAGTGCAACAGAGAGACCGAGAATTAATGTCTGAATGAATAGCTGGAGGAGGGAAGCATCACTCGGGAGACATAGGATATGGATTGAAAATTTCTGCTGTTTCAGCATTAGCTAATTTATACTTATTCTCAATAGAAGCTGCTTCCTTGTCAGGCAGCTGGAAGATGGATTACCCTAAATGTTCAGTGTGGTAAGTCCTTGCTTGGAGCATTTAATATTTGCCTGGGCTGACAGAACTCCGTGGACATGCTAAGCTAATTGGCAGACCCTAATAATATGTGGAAAGGATTGGATATAATACAGATTAGGTCACATGTTTTGTTGGTTGTGAAAGTTAATCAGGAGTTCCTGAAGGCTAATCTTTAAGCAAGAAAAGAGTCATTTCAGCCTCCTAATTTATTACCAGACAACATTCAGTGTGCATGTCTCTTTAGAGTCCCCGAACAAGTGGCCTATTTCTGTGTCTTGAAACTGAATGGAAAACAAAGATTCCCAACTCGACAATGGTAGCACCTCAGCATTTTATCTCCATTCTCATTCCCTTGCCTGGGGTTAAAGACTCCCTCCAGGGGTGGTTTGATTCGTTTTCAAACTCTCATGGACTGTCACAAGCATGGGGTGGGGGTGGGGGGTGGCGAGGACACAAACGAGGAAGGGCCTGCATGACAGTGAGGACTGCTGAACAGTGACCTGTAGCTCAAGCACAAATGTGAAAGCAACCGGGAGGAGAAGCACAAGCTGGGGGTGAAGGGGAGCAGGGAGGAAGACTTCAGAGAAGTGGCAGGGAATTGGGGTGGGCGGGTGCCGAGGCTGGGCCAAGGCAGCAGCAGGGGGCAGTGGATGAGACTGAAGGGCCCCAGGAGGAGTGTGGTGGGAAATGGGTCCGGAGGAGCTGTGAACCAGACCTAGGTGGGGCTGAAATGCCCTGCTGGGGAGCAAGGGGAGAGACCAGAGGTTTCAGGATTCCTGTCATTTTCAGCCTGTGCTTCTGGGAGCTCTCCCAGGGCAGATCTCCCCTCATCACTGTCTCCTGTTTAACCACAAAGCCCTGTACCTCTTCTCACCTACTCCTTTGGGGAGCCCCAAACACCTACATAGTGCCTCGGGGGCTCTGCTGAAGTTATGCATACATGCAGTGCAATCAGCCATCCACTGGGCACGGTGGTACCGTTAGCAGTCATAAGCCAGGGGCCAGGCCCCAAGAAGGTGAACCTTTCTCTGGGGAGAAAATAAGAATATTAGGAATTGTAATATTTGTAGTCCTCTTTCCAGGTACTCTGCTCCCCTCCACCCCGCTTCAAGACATGCCTTAGTGATATGTCCCAGATGGTTCAGCCGAGTCCTGACAGTAGCTTCTTAATTTGTTTCTGTGGCCTTTCTCTTTTCTCTTTCTTTTCTTTTTTTCCCGTCGGTAGGCAAGTGTGAAGCTTCTGTGTGTAAGGCAACGATAATAAAGAGTAATGGCAAGCATTCATGGAGTGCACACTATGCGCCATGCCCTACTCATATTCTACATTCCCCTGAACGCATGAACTCGTTTAATCCTCTGCAAACCCCAACTGGATGAGAAGGCTGTTGAGAAAACGCAATCACAGAGAGGTCAGTCAGGTCGCACGCCCCCAGGTGCACACATGCAACCCATGTTGCGTCACTTACAAGACGTAGATCTCAGACTCA